GTGATGACTATGGAAAGGACGCAGAAAGACCTTGTAACCAATCGACACATAGTATGCACTTGAAGAGGTTTTTATGTTATACGTTTTGTGTGTTTGTGTTTCAAAATAAAAAAAATGATTTAAAAAAAAAATAGTAGTAGTCCACAGGCCAGAATATGAAACCTTCTAAATCTTGATCTTTCTGTCCAGATAGATTTAAAAAAAAAAAAAAACCTCAAAGAAATCTTTGAGTTTATTGAACATGTGAAATTCTGGTTTTCCATTATCACAGTGAGCCATGACAAAACTTGGACAAGTGCATTCTCTTTACTCCCTCTCTTTGGAGGATTTTACACAAGCAGAGTTTTTCATGAAAGTAGGCTTTGTTAATTGTGATTTGTGCAAACTGGTCAGTAAGAACATGCCTAGTTAGACTTTGGCTTATTCTTGCTGATGAGTAGGAACATTACTGGGAATTAAATTTAAAAATTGAAACTGTCCCTTTACATTCAGGAAAAAGGAAGAGTATATGAATGAGAGAAGTGTGGAGACCTAAACATTGCTGTCATAAATCCTCACTCCTGTTATGTCTCACAACTCAGCTCTTGTGACTCATACTGTTGCTCATAGTTAGAGTTTTTATTTGCTTTCAAATTGAATAACCTCATATCATACTTATCTCTACAGATAAAAAAGGCCAAGATGCAGGAATCAGAAGAACAACTATTAAGGTGTGCAAGTCTTAATTTAAAAAAGAAACTAAACAAACCTCATCTAATTTTTGTAGTTTTTTAAAAAAATGACAAATTGTGATTTGGAATGTATTTTCTTACCTGTAGCTTTTTCATTTAGTATGGACTGGATGTGACAAGTCCATTAATCTTTATAGTGATCCTCAGCTCTATAAAGTTGGTCACTTCAGTTGATATTCCCTGATGAGGAACTGAGAAAAGATTTGAGCTCTTTCACATTGAATTTCGGAAGTGCCTAAATTTCATTTAGCATCATGATTAAATTATAGATAATGCTGAATAAACCATAATTTGAACTTTCTTGTTCGTTTAAGCAGTTCTGCTAGCAGGAGGAATCAATTAGAAAAATGGAAAAACATGATTATTTCAGAATTTTGGCTAAAATATACTTATACTTATAAATGTGGGTATTGCATTCAGTTTTAAGACAATTAGCATATGTTTGGGATGATAACAATATTTAATGGATGTGACAACAGTTTATAAGTACTTCATTGTTTGACTTCATTTTTCAGGCAAGTGAGCAGCTCGGACAGTAATGATCAAAAGCCCGAATCTTCAAGTCTTGCTTCAAACCTGTCTATATCTAATCAAAGTAAGCGATTTATTTATCTTCCAAGTTGATTAGGAGAACTGGTGGGTGCTTGGCACCTGAATTATGTCTGTAACATAGTAGCCCTTTTATTTAATTGTTTGATTTGGTATCATCTACCTCCAGAGCAATGCTGGGCAGTTTATAATAAAACTGACATGATAAATAAGCAATGCAACAAAAAGCAAAGCATGCAACAGAAAAATCAGACTAAAAGAGGAGAAATCCTTACAACTGCTATGGATTTATGATTTTTTAAAATTATATTTATAAGCTAGGTTTTTAAAGTCATCTTCCTGTGATCCTTAATATTAAAAAAGTTACCCTAAATTTCAGTGTGGGAGCATGAGTAAGCATATGCACCCATATGCACCAGAATGCATATTAAATCTGTGCAATGTATCCTCAATTTCCTGGGGTGATGAGATCCCCACTGCAGAGGCAGCTTCACTTTTTGTTGAAGCAAAGATGCCTCTTCTAGTCTTCTTGCGCTCACTTGCTCAAAGGCAGAAGAAGATTTTGTGCAAGTTTTGGACATGTCACTTGAGTTCTTGGCATGCATATGTTATCTGGAGAAATGTGTTCATCACAACAGATCACAAAAACTTTGGGTGAGCTATGCTGAAAGAGTTGAACAGACATCCGCCACAAAACTTAATAAAACTTTGCATGGCAGACCAGCGAAAAGGAATATGAGAGTTTTGCTCTTAGAAATATTGTGTAAAATTTACAAAGGTTGTTTTGCTTGAGTCTTCCTTAAATGTTTCTTTTGAACATTTGCACAAACCTAATGCAAGTTACAGTGAAACACAGCCTTACACATTAATGTCACAGTTTGTGTTAAATAACTAAGATCATTTTTAAATATTGTATTTTGCAGTCATGCCATGCACTGACTACATCTCAAGGTCATCGAATGACTATACCTCACAGATGTATTCTGCAAAGTAAGTTGAACTAAGTTGCTTGTTTCTGCAAAATGTCACAGCAGAAATGTTTGGTTCATGTAGATGTTTAATTGCACAATACATTTTTCCCCCGAGTTCTATGGCGTCTGTATGCATAGGAACTGTCAGGGGCCAGTGGCTCCATTCTTTGAAGCTTCTCCATTATTCTCTTTTGACTAGGTGGGAACATTTGACCTAACAATTATGCTGCTCCTTCACGACTGCCTTTGCCTTGCATGTACATATACCCAAGACCGAACAAGATTCTAATAAATATTTCTTAGCTGGTATCAATTTGTAATTCGGACTGTCTGGAGCTTGGGATGGCACAGAACCTAGAAAGCTTCGCCATTCTGTGCACAGCCCAGGAGGAAGGCAGAGCATTCAGCAATAGATCCAGGAGGCGACATGTTGTTAGTTGTTGCCTCTGGGTTCTCTGGCAGAGATGATGTTAACCAAATCTACCACATTTCCCTTCCTTATCAAGAGATGAAGTGTTAACACTGTTTAGAGAAAAGGAGGTAAGGTGATTGCAACCCCCTCCCCCTTGGTCTTTCCATGGCTGCTGTTTTAATATTATTGAGGTACTGTTGAGTTGCAAGATGAAAGTTCTCCCTGTTTCTGTAGCAGCATCCCATATCAACAAGGTGTTTTTCTTTTTATGCAGGCCATATGCACATGTCCTGTCTGTACCTGTTTCTGAGACAATGGCCTCTTATTCTGGGCAGACTCAATATCAAACCCTACCACAGTCCCAGACATACGCTGTTTATCCCCAGACAACTCAAGCTTACGGACTACCTCCTTTTGGTAAGGTTGGCCGGGATCTGTGTAGGGCTTTGCTGTCATCTGAGAAATTTTGCTGTGACATGTAAAGTGTCCTCTCTGAAGTGCTTTATACAACTGTATTACAAATAGGTACATTTTGATTATCTATAAGCTTAGAGCAGGGGTAGTCAACCTTTTTATANCTTTCAGCCCTCTCTAAGCAGTTTACAGAGTCAGCATATTGCCCCCAACAACAGTCCGGGTCCTCATTTTACCCACCTCGGAAGGATGGAAGACTGAGTCAACCCTGAGCCGGTGAGATTTGAACAGCCGAACTGCAGTCAGCTGAAGTAGCCTGCAGTGCTGCATTTAACCACTGCGCCACCTCAGCTCATTTTCTATATTTATTGCAATCAGTTTTCTATTCACACCATATGGTTTTTAAAAGATAATAAAATGTTTTAAAATAGTTTAAATAAAATAAAATTTCAGGAAAATGCTAATTTTCTACATTGAAAGGAAGTATACTCCCTTTTGATCTTTTTGGTACTTTTTGGGTTGTTAATCTCGATTGCTGAATTCCAAATAATATGTCTCCTTCATGTTTGTATGACATTTAAGCCAGAGCAGTAGATTAATGCAATGTACTCAACCTGCTCTGGAAAGAAAAAGAAATAAAAGATAATAAAAGATAAAATTAGATTTAAAATCCATCTACTGTACAATATTTTTGGTTCAGGTTTCATAAAAGTGGCTTCACTATTTCTAAGAATAAAACCATTTGACTTTATTTATACTTACAGCTCTTCCTGTACAAAAATATCTTTAGAAAACTGGAAGTTGGCATGAAGCAGGAAAGTAGATTTTTTAAGTATTTGCTATTGGTTTTGACTTGGAGCTTTTGGATGAGTGGGTTGCTGTCTTATTAACTTCAGGAATATTTTATGGTGGACATTATTGATTCAATGAAATTTCTCAGTAATGTTGGAATAAGTAAGAAACACATATTTGGTACAGGCAACTGAAAATTTGAAAATATTACTGGCTTGTTTATGGCAGGCATTAACATATTTTTTAATGTCTTTGAACTGTTCACATGGGATTATTTCTAATTATAAGACAAACAAATAAGACTGAAAATGTGAATAGCTCTGAATTTACTTTGCCATCACATGGCAGGCAATATCTTAATTTTCAGATCAAAGAATGGATGACTGAGAATCAAGACATTAATTTTCAGGCATTTGTTTTTAATCTTATTTTAATGAGAACTTTCACACTAAAAAAGCGATAACACTGCAGGTAGGTTGTTATCTGGGAATAAATCCCATTAATCTCGGTGATTCATGGTTAAGAATCTTTGAGGTTTGGGTTGGGTTTGTTTTGAATTGTGATTTTTTTTGGGGGGTGGGGTTTAAGAATTTTAGAGGCATAGGATTGCGTCAGCCAAAATGGATGTTATATTGAATATAGTTTTATACAAAATATGATTTAAATTAACTGTTTAAAAAGCATTCACAAATTAAAATTTAAAAGTAGATTGTTGGTAAAGATCCTAATGCAATGGCATATTGCTGATAAGGAATTTTACAATCCTGGTAGCGGTCCGAAAGGATTATTTTAAGTAAATGCATAAATTAATAAGATTTTCAACAAATGCGTTATTAAGCTGTTTTGGGGGTTTAATTTATTTGTGGTGATTCAGGGCAAGCCGAAATCTTATTTTGATTATGAGTCTTGTCTTCTTGCTTTTATTATGATAAATGTTTGTAGGTCATCATAGGTTTTGTAATTCTTGTTATGGTGTGATTTTGGTCTTTTAATCTGAAGAGGAGAGATTCCCTGTATGCTTGAACATTTGGAGGTGCATATTTTATTTGTTAATCTGTTTTTCAAGTAGAAAAAATAGTGATGTTTGTATTTCTCCTTGTGGTCATGTTTGTATTGTAAAACAGGTGTTAAATAAACACGCAAACTTAGGTAAACAGAAGTTTTCCAAACTGTCATTTATTTATATTTCATTTGTGGCTTATATTTCTTTAACTTTCTGATGCTTTAATTTTTACCTTGATATTTTATTAACAAAATATCAGTAAAAAGAAAGAAAAAAAAGAATAGCGGCTTGAAATCCAAGTAACAAAAGAAATACAGTGGAAATGAGGTGCGCCCTTACTTGCATTATCTTACCTGCTGTAGCTTGAGGCTTAATGGAAAAGCCATGCTTTTTTCCATACAATAGCGTAGTTTCTCTCTCTATATATTGGTAAAGCCAACATTTATGTACAAAATGACATATTAAATGGCTAAATGGCACAGATAGCAAAAACAATAAGCAATTCCCCCAAAACATGGATATTGTCTGTTACAGGTTTTGAAGGCAGAGGAAGACAACCATTCTTCACGTTGGAGCCCTTTTGAAAAAGCTCGCCTCCATGGAAGAGGTACAAGATTTAGCAGAACAGCCAGTGAGTATACAAAAGAAACAGCAAAAGCGAGGAAAAAAGGGGCTTTTTTCTCTTTTTAGGGGATTTTCTAGAGAATAGCTTATGCATCTTATTTTGTCTGTGGAGTTAAAAAATAAAGAAATGCAACACAGATAGATGATTGAAATAAAAAGAGTGGCTTGCTAATATTTCAATATATAAAACTAGTTACTTGTGTGATACCATTATTTGAATTTCTCAGAGTTCCAAAATCTCTACCAACCTCCGTAAAAGAAAATGATTTGGATGAAATCAATAAAGCCCTAGCAATGAAATGCAAATTCTAGACTTTTGTGTGTTTGGCTGCTTTTTGAATCATGTCTTTGGCATCATATTTAACTATGAAAAATGGCGAATAAAATTTCTAAATAAGTCCTGTCCATTGGACATAATAAAGGATGATGACGAATGAAGATGCCTTAGGTTAACAAGCAGGCATTTTATCTAAAATGCCAATGAAAAACCATATTCATAATTAATATTTACTTACTAATTGCTAATAGCAATGCAACCGTCCCAGTAAAGAGTCCCTCAGAAGAACAGGAAACCTATAGCAAACGCATTTTGACTTTTTGTATTTCACCTCAAATCCCCCTTATAACAAAAACATATTTATCTAATTCTGAAAAGTACAAGAAGAAGCAATGGGCCTGAAATATTTTGGTAGCAAATAGGTGCATAGCTATGCTTCTTTTTAGCAATCACAAAAAAGATCTTTGCAGCATTAATAGATGTTTCTTCAGTTAAAAGCTGGATGGTAGTTTTCCTTCTTTTGAGTTGGTCACTACAGAGCAAAATGCTACTTTGCAATAACTCATCACCATGGCCATATCAATGCAAGCACATGGATGTTTTGAGACCATGTTTAGCATATGGTGGAGCATTGCTTTTGTTTAAAAATCAGTTGGAAAGAATAGTCCTTAGCTGTAACCTATCAAAATAGAAGTAGACCTTGGAGGGCGGGGCTTGACGTTGCAACGACACGACATGCAATCTTGGGGCTCCAGGATTGCTCTTGATATCTCTGTTGCTGGACGGTTCTGAAGGAACGGTGATAGAGAAGAGCATGTCCTGCTGATCTCAGGGNGAACTACTCAAAGTTTCTGCTACCGGTTCTGTGAACTACTCAAAATTTCCACTACCGGGTCTCTAGAACCTTTCAGAACCTGCTGGATTTCATCCCTGCATGAAGGTTGTTCTTGATTTAGAATGCTGAATATGATCAGGAATATTTGGCTTCCTTAAGAGACCCAACTGTTGCCTAATATTTCATTTCTACCCTTTGCTTTGTAATAAACTAACCTTAAAATGTTCAAAAATACAAATAGTAATGATTGTTTTATTAAATCTCTGAATTAGTAGACATGTGACTTTTATAATGTTGTGCAATGAAGGAGTATGGATCACTAATGATGAAGAATTAGTTAATAAATACTGTCCATTTTTTTAAAAAGATAAAAACGTTTCAGTATCTCCATTATTGTATCGTAGACTATAAACAACAACCATAGTCTAGTTGGTCTGGGAAGGGAAAAAAGATTGAAATGTATAGCTGGTAACACTTTTATTAGAACCACAGTGTCAGAAAAGATTATCCAAGATTTGAAGCTCACCAGGCTTCCAACTTTACTATAATTTTTGGCCTCTGTCTCTGGGAAAGACAGACACTTTGAGTGAGGATGAATTCTCCAAACTTTGTCCTGTAGAAATGTTACCAATGTTTTGGTTTATGGTTCTATTTTCTTAATGGATACCATTGGGGGGGGGGGGAGAATAAAATGTGTTCAGGACAGAGTTTTCATGCTTTCACTGAGTCAAGAATAAAAGCCTTTTGGATCATACAGCTGGCAGAAAATTGGCTAAATAGGTGACTGAATTATGGGCAGAGGGAGAAGGGTAGCAGAAGGATACGATCAGCAGTTGTAGAAGATGGCCAGGCTAAGCCTGAGGGAGGGTTCAAATGCATCATCAGTCTCTTAGCGCCCATAAGCAATCTAAGCCCAGCCCACCTTGACTTCCTTATTTACTGCCAAATTACTTTAACCGCTAGTTCAAATTCTTGAGCTTGGAATAAATCTTTATACCCTGGATCTAACTGCCTGGATCTACTGATTTTTCTGGTGCTTGACAGCAACTATGGAATGGTTCCCAACATCAATCTTTCTTTCTGTGCTTTTATTGTTTATTTATAATACAGACAACTATCATGTGAGGCTACCTCTGAGTATGTCTGGATTCTGCATTCCACTTGCCAGAAATGGTCTCGACTTAAAATTTTCTCAAATAGTTTAGTTTGGAACTCCTGCATTTTTAATTACTACCAACTTGAGATGTGTTATAAGCACATCAGAAGTTTTATTCTAATTGTGAAGTTCCTGCAGGTATTTTGTGTAATGTTATTTGCTGCTTTAAAATAAGACTGCAACATGGAGAACATTTGTTGGTACTGTATGGCATTAAAATAATTATTCTCCAAATAAAACAAAAGAGAACTGCAACTATTTAACATACCAGAAATGCTTCACTAAATTCAGTGGAACCTATTACTATGGGAACAAGTCAATTTGCCTAAAATTTTAAAAATAACTTGATATGTTAGCCTTTACAAATCTTAGTAGTGACATGGATTCCTATCACACTAAACTAAACCCAATCATACATTATTAAATGTAATTTATGTCTTAGTAGTATGAAACCCAATTAATTATGGCTTATTTAATTTGATAAAATACCATGTGTGAATCTATTCAATATATTTTTGTATCAGAAGTTAACTGTCTTAAAATTAATTTGCTGGGGTTGAGTAAGCAGAGTTAATATCAATGTGTATATATAAATTAAACTATATGCAAAAACTTTTTTTACTTACAAGTTAGAGCTGCCACAAATATGAGGTAAACAGCCACTTGACGGGAATGAAGAAATACAAAAACTTGTATTCTCAATTAATGACCATTCCAATTTTTGAAGCCCGTTAAAAGATGTGGGCTCCACTCCAGTATATTTATGTATATCTACCCCATCTCAGTAGAATTACAAGGGGGGAACTCTGCCCGAAGGCAGCCAATTCTATTAGCTGCTCTATTCCCGCATGCTACCTTTCATCTGGACAGTTCAAAATTAGAATAGAATAACAAAGTTGGAAGGGACCTTGAAGGTCTTCTAGTCCAATCCTCTGCTTAGGCAGGAAGCCCTACACCACTTCAGACAAATGATTGTCCAATCTCTTCTTAAAGACTTCCAGTGTTGGAGCATTCACAACTTCTGGAGGCAAGCTGTTCCACTGACTAATTGTTGTCAGGAAATTTCTCCTCAGTTCTAAGTTGCTTCTCTCCTTGATTAGTTTTCACCCATTGCTTCTTGTCCTGCCCTCAGGTGCCTTGGAGAATAGCTTGACTCCCTCTTCTTTATGGCAAAATATTTAGATATTGGAACACTGATATCATGTCTCCCCCAGTCCTTCTTTTCATTAAACTAGATCTACCCAGTTCCTGCAACCGTTTTTGGCTCCCCAAAGGAGGGAGGTGAGCGACCCCTACCGGCAGAGAAAAGTAATTATGGTGGGGCCGCAATTGTGAAGAGCAAAGACAGCGTGAATGCCCTCAGCCCCATTTTGTTTTTACCTGCCAGTTCAATGGCAATACGAAAAAGGCACGGCCGCTCCTCTTCCAATCTTTCGTGCCTTCCCTCATCCTCTTTCCCAGACATTTTGAATCACGGGTAAGAACCTAAGCCAGGGGTCCCCAAACTTGGCCACTTTAAGACTTGTGGACTTCAACTCCCAGAATTCGCCAGCCAGCCACAAGTCTTAAAGTGGTCAAGTTTGAAGACCTCTGACCTAAACGGTGGCGGTCGCCAACGGTAAACACCCCGGCCAATCCTATCCCGCCTCCCTTTGCCGTCACTTCCGGCAAGGAGCTTCCTCTTCCGGGGCTCAGCCCAGCGGAGGCTTGCCGAAAGGGGTTCCTTTCCGTTCTCTTTCTTTCTTTTCTTGTTATTTTTTTGGTGGGGGAGTTTGTTGTCCTGTTTGGGAACCCAGTCCATCGCCGGAGCCGCGGTGGTCGTCATCCACTCCGCCATGTCACCTGGCGCCAAGGCCGGCTCCGCAAAGGTCTCCTCACGGTAAGAGGGAAAAAAAAAGTTTCCCCTTTTCACTTCTTCTCGCGCGATCGGCGCGCGGGCCGGTGGGCGTGGCCTGGGCAGCGGTTGCCGTGGCCCCGCCCCCAGGGGCTGTTTCCCTCCCCCCCTCCATCCGTGAATGGGGGGAAGGGAGAAGAGAGAGCAGTTGGGAGGGGCGACGGCGGCGGAGGAGCGCGTCACGGGACGTGCCCGCAACTTGTGGAACTCCCCGCCACGTGATGCGGTGACACTTCTGATTCCCCCTCAACAACCCCCCGGTTTTCATGAAAGAGAAGCCGAATGCCTGGAGGAGGCAAAGGTCTGTTTGCGGTGTGAAAACCTGGACTTAACATAGTTATGTTAGCCTGACAGGGTTGCTTAATTTGTGGTTATGTCACATATGTGGGCAGATACATTATTTTGTATATTTATTCATTCAGTCACGTTGATGTAGTGCAGTGTTTCTCAACCTTGGTGACTTTAAGTCCTNCCCTACCGCCCACCATGAAAGCTGGAACGCACACTAGTGGGCGGTAGGGATCAGGTTGACTACCACTGGCTTAGAGCATGCACGTTGCATAACTTGTGGAGCAGGTAGCCTTCGACTTAGAATCACAATTGAGCCCCGACATTTCTGTTGCTAAGTGAGACATTGGTTAATTGAGTTTTGTCGACCATTTTACGACCTTCCTTGCTACGGTTCTTAAGTGAATCACTGAGGTGGCTAAGTTAGTAATGCGGTGGTTTAAGTGAATCTCGCTTCCCCATGGACTTTGCCTGTCAAAAGGTGGCAAACTTTGATCCCATCACCCCAGGACATGGCAACCGCCATAAATATGAGTCAGTTGCCAAGCATCTGAATTTTGATCATGTGACTATGGAGATGCTGCAATGGGCATAAGCGTGAAATACACTCATAAGTCAACTTTTTTCAATGCCATTGTAACTTTGAATGGTAACTAAATGAACTGTTGTAAGTCGGGAACTACTTGTACCTCAGATTTCTTCTATGTAAGCTGCCCAGAGTCCCTCAGGGACACTTGAGATGACAGCAAATAAATAAATAATGTTTGAACACAGCCACAATTATCAACAGATGACAGGAATAGAAGGGAATTTACATAGCAATAGCACTTAGGTTTATATATTGCTTCATAGTGCTTTACAGCCCTTTTTAAGCGGTTTACAGAGTCAGCATATCGGTCCCTACAATCTGGGTACTCATTTTGCCGATCTCGAGCTGGTCAGGATCGAACTCCTGGCTGTGGGCAGAGTTGGCCTGGAATACTGCATTCTAACCACTGCACCATCACGGCTCTCAGGAAGATTGCAGAAGAGAAATGGGCCCTGTTGCATTTTATGTGACAGCGTAAATTGGCCAAATCAATGTCCCTTGTTTTATTCTGAGGGCTGTACTCTTTGGTGTACTCCTGTAGGCATAAGCATCATGTACTCATCTTTGATATATCATGCAACAGTGATTATCAACTGAGTGAAGTTAGAATCTCTCCCCCACCCCCCCCGTTCTTTGCCCCAGAGCAATTATAGAAAGAGGCAGCTCTCTTGTAAAACTGCCCAACTGAGTCACAATGGCTTGCTGTAGGGAAAACACTATAGTCATCCAGAGGCATTGAGCTTAGGAGGAGCCTGGTCAGCAGCGCCTGCACAATTCTCTTTTCTTAGGAAAGCTTGGGAATTAACCTTATCGCATCTCTTCTGATTTATTGTCTAGCTTTCTTTTTTTCTTCTTCCTTGACCCTGCTGCTTCACCCGCTTCTCCAGGCTTAGACCTCAGACTTGCACATTTAACAGCTCCTCTACCTGTAATTGTGTCACTTGTTCCCATCGGTGAGAAGAATTTGGTGGCCTGGCTGACCACAGCCAGCTTTGTTTATAATGGGTGCAATTTATCTGATTCAGGTGCACTGTGGCCAGGTATGAAACCTGAGAGTGGTTTAATTCAGACTCCATCTCCAAGTCAGCACAGTGTTCTTACCTGCACTACAGGGTTAACCACAAGCCAATCCAGCCCAGCACATTATTCTTACCCTATTCAAGGTAAAAGTCGGCATGGTTTTTTTTATTTACCTACCTCTTCCTGTAACCTGGTCAAGAAGCCACAAAAGAGGCCAGCACGTTTTCGTCTCTGTTTTGTGCATGCTTCTCTTTGCTTGGCGAGCTCTGCTTCTGCCACCTCTCTTGCTCACCGTTTGCCTGCTTCTCTGCTCTCTCACCAGGTGAATTTTACCATGCTCTGCTTTCAAAACCCTTATAGAAATGGGGAGAAACCCTCCGGGGATATGGGACACATGTGCATGCGTACAAATGCTAAAAAAACAACAACAGTGGTGATGATAATCTCCTTATTCAGCATGCAGTGTTTTCTGCCCTGTGCTTAGGTTACAAGGAATGCATAAAGGTTAGCATAATCAACCTGCAGGAACTATTGATTTCGCTCAACAATCAGCATTTGCAAGTCCCTTAAAACCCATCAGAAGTTTTCAAAGTTGCGACAGAACTATTCAGATTCTTTACTCAACCTGCCATTGAGTTGCAAGGAATAGAAATGTGCTTTTGGTTTCTAATAAGCAATTGTTATTAAAAAAAGGGGGGGAAGGACCCTCAGCTCGTTGAAAGGGCTGGATATGATTCAGAAATACGTGCTGGTACATTGCATTTAAAAATACAACATAGCAGTAAGTGACTTTAGCTATCACTGAGCAGATCTCTTTGACTAATTGCAAGCAAGGAAAACCTGGAGTGTTTTCCAGACAGATTCAATGACATTGTGGCATTAAAAAAAAAAAACCAAGCAACTCTGAATATTTGATACCCTGCAGAAGTAGGAAGGAAATGCAGTCGGATTGCTGTAGTACATCTTACCTGAAAGGAGCATCCCTAAGTGGATTGAATCAGTTTGCAGAATGACAGGAGCAACAATGTGTGTGTGCGTGCATGTTTGTTTTTCTTTAATCGATTAAGAACTGTAAGTTTCAAGATATCAGTGGGCTACAGCTTTGATGAAATAAAGTAATTCTATATTGCATTGAAGTAGGTCATCCACTTGAATGATGAAATTGTTTATTTCAAAGTCCTCTTGGGAGTTGCGGGTGGCTGTTGTTTGGGATAAAGATGCAGTTTCCATTAGTATCCAGCTTATAATCACTTCAGCACTGAACTTATGTGCAACCTGGAACAACATGCACCAAAGTGCATCTTTGTACCCTAATGAGAAAAATTGTCCTATTTAAAGGGTTCCCTTCAGACCAGTCTCTCAGCTGTCTTCCAGGTTCAATTTTTCTTTGCCGGCTGATACTTATGATTATTAAGCACACTTAATAATCATAAGGCCATTTATAATAATCACACAGGCCATTTCTGATTTGGGTGCCCTGTTGATTTATTTTGGGGGATAGTAGTTCTGAAAAGACCTACTCATAAAGTGACATCGTCTGCCTGTTTTCAGTGGCCCTTTTTCAAGTTCCAGCCCTTTTAGAAGCAGGCAGAATGGTAATGAAGTTGATTCAAGCAAAACCAGCCACGCTGCAGCCCACTGAAATCAATGGGACAAATTAGTAATGCAACTGATTGCAGTTTCAAGTACTAATGCAGTCTTACACATTACAGTGTCCTAAATTGATCCCCTCTACATATTTTGGACTTAAAGCTCCATCATTTAGCAAATATGTCACCTGACATTTAGCAAGGATTAGAAAATGGTTCCCATTGGTGTCTGTTTGGAGGTAGTTTTCATTGACTTCTACTTCACTGATTTTTAGATTAACTTGTATAAATTTATACACTTAAATGTTAGAATTTAATACAACTAATGGCTTATGCTATGGTTTTTTGGTATGTATTTGTGAGAAGAGCAAATTACATTCAGATAGCGCTTTTTTAAAGTAAACCCAAAAGGCATTTGATTATTTTGAAAAGGAAGAACAGTTGCATGGTGATGTCACTTGGTCATCTTGTCCAATGTTTCTGTGACTTCCTTCGATGAAGGGAAACATACGGTAGTTCGAACTAAAGATCCTGGAAATGTTCCATTTTCCTCCCATTAAGTAGTTTTAACAGTCCTCTGCACTTTCATGACATGGATTAATACACAATCTTCTTCTGAATTTCCTACAGCTTCAAGTACCAATGCCAACTCCATTTCCACTTCCTCACCTGCGGTCAATATTTCAGCAGCCACCGCCAGCATCTCTCAACAGGTACATAATCCTCTAGCATAAGTTACCCTGTTCGTTGTAATGTATTTTATCCCATGTTCCAATATATCTAGTAACTGGATGATTTGAGACAATAATTTGATTTTATGGAATGTGTAAGTATCCAACCCGAGACATGGATCTTACTATCTTTGCCCTCTTTCAGTTCTTAATTTTTTTTCTTAAAGGAGTATCCTACATACACCATCCTTGGCCAAAGTCAGTACCAGCCATATTATCCCAGTTCAAGTTTTGGCGTGATAGCACCAGCAGACAGCAGCACAGAGACCAACACGTTGACATCTACCACCTATCCTTCTGAAAAATCAAATGCCATGGTGCCTACTCAGACGGTGCAGAGACATTCCTCTGGTAAACTCAGGGGGGGAAATCAATTTGTAAATGCTTTTTAGATCGGTATTTAAGATTTGTAGACTTCAACTTCCAGAATTCCCCCAGCCAGTATGCTGAGCTAGAGGGCAGCGGGAGGCTATGGGGTCTCAACTATATATTATACTTGCTGATAACCTGGCATTCCCTGGGTATTTATTTATAGGGGGAAATGTCTGGACCAAATGTAATTTCTAATGTTGGATTTCCCCCCTTACCAGAGGGAGCCCCCTTGTGGAGCACTGTGAAGCCGTTACCATGGCAACTTCACTGCGCTATACAGTAGAAGCCATTTTATGGCAGTACAGTAGAAGCCATTTGAAGGCATAACAGGCTGTATCATAACAGAGCCCACAATCCTGAGGGGTGTTAGGGGTGTCTTACCTCCACAGTATTTTTCGTGTAGAGAGTTTCCAGAGAGTAAGTCATCGTGTGTACCAAGTTTGTTTGAAATTGCTCGAAGTGTTCCAAAGTTATGCTGGAACACACACACACACACACACACACACACACACACACACACACACACACACACACACAC